TCCAAACAAAGATCACAGCACTGTTTTGCGTCTCTGAGCAATGGACGGTGTTTACTAATTGAATGAATCAGCTTTTTGAACGAATCGGTTGAATAAATTATTCAGTGATTCACTCATTAACACAGTTAAGTGCTTTGTTCCTGAATGAATCAGCCGTTTGAATGAATCGGTTGAATTTCAATGATTCACTTATTAACAGTCACTTGCTGTCACCTACTGGCGGTTTTAATTTCACATTTCGACAAATTTTTTAATGTTTTTAAATCATTTCAAATATCAGTATTCAACGCTTTGTTAAAAACAAAACATTATTGTTTTTTTATACTGTTACTGCAGGTTAAATGCATCCATGTCCCCTCTGAGATACATAAACTGTGTAAATACATAAATGCTATTTCAGATGCAGATTCCAGAAATGTTTTCTTATGTTGGAATGAAAGACACTAAGTACCGGATGAAGTGCTTCTTATTCTTACCCAAAATTACAAAATGGAAGAAAGAGTTAAAACTGAACACAATCTTGCTACTCAAGTGGTGTATGAACATTTTTTATATATATTTATTTGCTTCTTTCTCATTTTGCATTTACTTGTACTTTTACTTTCAATACTTAAGTACGTTTAAGATTTAAAAAAATACTTTTCATACTCAAGTACAATAAATATCACATACTTTAAGACTTTTACTCAAGTAATATTCTAAACAGTGACTTCAACTTCTACCAAAGTAATTTTCTGGTATATCTGTACTTTTACTTGAGTATGGCTTTCATGTACTTTATACAGCACTGTTAGAAATCTTGGCTGCTTTAATGCATGTTTATTTATCACGACTAATTTGCAGGGATGAGCGAGACAACGCTTTACCCACCCTTCTCACCAGATGGGTCTGTCTGACAATCACAACTGAAAACAGATCATCTGAATTTCTGAAATGCATTCCGGTTTATTTTTGGAATCAAAGATTAATATTTGATCAGGTCAAATACTTCAGAGAAGACAACAGAAATATGCAATGGAGCTCGGTGTTAGGGTTATGCATAATTCATTATTTTCAGCTCTCATTTATGAAGGCATGGCAGAACAGGAAGGGTGGAAAATAAACAGAGATGTTCAAATGATGTGGTGTGTGTTCTGTCTCATGAAATGAATTAAAACTAGGGTAAATATTTGGTGGTTAGTCAGGACTAACTATCCCTGACTATTTAACAACAGTCTTTCACAGATATTTCCTTACTGCATGCAAAATTGTACACTGTAAAAAATAAATCAAAGTAAAGTAAAGACTAATGCATTTCTGACTGGGCACATTGGCCTCAATTACAAGTGCACCACAAGTACAACCAGTGTGACACTCATTTTTCATAAAAGCCATCAAATATTCTAAACAGAGAGAACTGCAAAAAAAATGGAGTTAGACTCAGTTCATTAAGACACCACAATGTAATTTATTAGAGCAAATGTAACTAAAAATGAGAATAAAATAATTTATAAAAATGACAATTATTTGATGACATCAATTATTTCCACAAAAATATAATCATGTGTTTTTTCTTTTTTTTTTTCTTGTAACAGCCCGCATAGGGCCAGATTTACTAACAGCTTGAGCCATCACAAACCGTCTTTTGGCATTTAAATAGTACTGTCAGTATTTACTAAAGACACGCAGTGAAGAATTAGCTGAAAAGACATGGACAGTTATTTTTGCGCCTGACCTTATTGAATATGCAACGTTTGTGCTCGTCAGATTACTGGTATTTGCATCAAGTATTTACTTATTTGCAACATATTTAATTTGCACGTTGTCAGTAAATCATTCACAGAAATTTCCACGCCCATCGGCACAGTTTTGGAATATTGCGCTCTCGCGCTAATTTGCCCTGTTTAGTAAATCTGGCCCATAAGCATGTGGTATATTATAGCCAATAAAAGATAAATCTATTTTTAATAAATAAAAAGGTCATCTTAATAGACAGGATTTTACGTAAACACCACAATGAGACATGCCATGTGGCCCTCTCTCCTATATTTACAGTCTACAAACAGAATATTTTCAAGACTGTAGACTGAAACAGTGTGTTCCAAATGGCATAAATTAAGCACGCACTTAAGAGGAGGAAGCAGCTATGATGAAGTGTTGTTTTAAAGGAGACATATTATGCCCCTTTTTACAATATGTATTATAAGTCTCAGGTGTAAAAAAAAATCAAGAATCGAATCGAGAGCTTGCGAATCGAAATCGAATCGGGATATCTGAATCGATACCCAGCCCTAATATATATTTATCTGCTTCTTTTCTATTTTGCATTTACTTGTACTTTTACTTTCAATACTTAAGTACGTTTAAGATTAAAAAAATACTTTTCGTACTTAAGTACGATAAATATCATATACTTTTAAGTAAAGTATTTTAATATTCTAAACGGTGACTTCAACTTCTACCAAAGTCATTTTCTGGTGAGATATCTGTACTTTTACTTGAGTATGGCTTTCAGGTACTTTATACACCACTGGTTTGCTTCACTTCCACTTGACAGATCATGTTTGGCTGACAGTGACTGATCATATCTGGGTTTCAGGAGTGCTGGAAATGAACATTGAACACCTGCTTACAGCAGGAATTTGTGTCATTTTCTAGGTTAACAAACAGCTTTAATGTTAAACAGAGCTGTTTTTTTTTCTTTTTTCATTTACATGTAGGGCTGCAACCGATTAATTGAAATTAATCAAAATTACAGCTGGTGTAGTTAATTGTAAAAATTGTCAATTGCAATATTCAGCTTATGTCTTTTTATTTTTTACATTTTTTTATTATTTATTTATTTTTTGCAGCAGTGAATCAGAGCATTTAATGTTTGTATTTTAGACTTATTAATAGAGGCAACTGTTAAATATTGGATGCTGAAGACACATCTCCTGGCACACAAAATGCTTTAAAGCCAAAGTGGGAGTTATTTAATACATTTGCATTCGCAATTTGTATTTTGTACAACACCCAATGTACACTCTAAGAAAGTGATGTGGCAACTAGAATACGCCCATTAAAATCAACAAGCTGTAAACATTCTGTAATAAAATATTGATTCTGTTGTGTAGCTACAGAGTCCAAAGCTCTGTTTGCGAGCAGTCTGGTCTGTTGTGTGAAATTGTGAAAAACTAACAACGGACAGGATGGGAGAGTTCTAGTATTGGCACGTTGCTCGCTTTGTGTATAATTAATTACACGTTTGAATAACAGTTTTGTTTTCATGCAGTTAAGAGGACCAGTAAAAATCTGCCATTTATGTGCAGTCTTGATTTACAGATATATAAAATCACAATAAAATCAGAAACCCTGAATTCTCAGCTTGTTTTAAGTCATTTGTTATTGTTAACTAAAACCATAAAGACATTTTCGTTACTTGAAATAAAATAAATATGAACTGAAGTAAAATAAAATATTTATAAAAAGTATTATTATTTCCACTTGTTTCCAAAACAACATTTCTCATTTTAAAATGGGAAGATATAAAAAATAAAAACTAATTCAAATGTTAATAAAAAAAAACATATCTCAATTATGCTAAAATACTGTTTAGATGCCTACATAAAGAATATGACTTGCAGTTGCCCTACACAAAATGGAAATAAAAAAAGACTTATGATTTGTCATAATCGTGCAGCCCTATTTAACCATCACTTTTGAGTCAAAAGTAACCTACATTTCACTAGTACAGTGTCATTGCCCTTGAAGCAACCATAAGTCTGTTCTTTCTGAAGGTTGCTCTAGTGATCGAACACTAGGGTCATCTCAGTAACTCTTCAGCTTTGGGTTTGCTTCACGTGGGATTGAACCTGATACCGTGAGTCAGTACTCTAGCTCCAGTAGCCTGCTGCCCTCTACTTATAGTCCTAAAAAACAATGAGGTTGTTATTCAGTTTGTATCAGTCTACAGTTGGAGAGAGCGTGAACATCAGGCTCTCTGTAAGTGCCACTGACTCTAATTGTGTTAAGCCTAATAGATTTTATTTCACTTTTTTTTATGTAACAGAGGGATCACAGCCCAAGGGTGTGATGTATGTTGGCACTAAACAGGTCACACTGGAATTATGTTTCACATACCCTCAGTAAGCACGTCCTATAGAAGGGGCTGTATTTCAGTGTGCCCTGCGTTTTCTGCTGAAGCAGAATGTAATGTGTTATGTAGGTAACCCAACACAATGCATGCGTCTGCATAGCGCATACTTAAAATATTGCTTCACAGCCATTTACAAAGAAGTCGCTTCTTAAAACAAGAATGCATCATTTTTTCTTTCATGAATATTAATAGGTTGACGCAACCCTAATACAGCAATGCAATGCCTGCATCTTTGCCAACATATTAATGATCAAAAATAGAAGGATTTTACATCATGTTTCATAATTTATCACTTGAAGACAGATGTTTGCACCATATTTTACAACTCGCACCCACAGGTTATAGAAATGAATTATACAAAGCTTTAATACATTTATGTAGGGTGTGTTTGCTCAGACTTGGAACAGGGCAAGAAGCACTGCTTAAAGGTACATTTTTTTCAAAGCATTTACAATGTAGTACAAACCAGTAAAACATCCCACAGGTGTTGAAGCAAAAAATCTGTGCATTGCATTGTATTTACATATAGGAAGGGATGTAAAATGTGTGCAATGAATTAAGTGTTTAAAAAAAGTTTTAACAATTGCTAGCATGTCAACATATGATGACAGAGAAAAGAAAAGTGATTAAAAACGATCGAAATCAAAACGTTTTAATTTTGATTGCATTAGAGTAGGGCTGCACGACTAATCGAATGCGATTGTCATGCGCATTTTGATAGTAATGCCGGTTATGAAATCGAGGCAGCTAGTCCAGTTAGCATGTGAAGGACAGTGACGGGGCTAAACGAGGCTGATGACACATTCTTGCAGGCGGTGAAAACTCTCTGTGATTATTCTTGACCAACTCTGTGACCAAATATAGTTCTCGCTCTCTTTGACAGATCACAGACGTCTCCTTGCCAAATTATTTAGTGGCTTCCTCAGTGGGACTTCTCCCAACACAACTCCTTAACTCATATCTGGGCACCACCCTGCGCACAATGGAGGACGTGATCGCAGAACAGAGCGTCAGTGGATACTTTGTGTTCGGTCTACAGGTAAGCCTCCAAAAACAAAAACAAAGGATTTGAAAGGAAGTCAGCAAGAACCCTGTATGTACAGTTTAGCCCACAAATGTACATACTTCTTGCAGAATCTTCAAGAAGTTATATTAATTAAGAGAAGAATTATCAAAAGAAGTTTACATTGACATTTGGATCCAAGACTTTGCATTTTAGCAGGCTCTTTTATCCAAAGCAGCTTGCAAATGAGAAGCATCACCAGGATTTTTTTTTTTTGGTGTGGTATAGTTTGTCATGTTTATTTATAGAGCTGAATGCAACACTCTCTTCCTGTTGATTACTGTTTTGCCTGTTTTTTTTTACACACAATTAGCAGTACACAATATAATGTTGCATTGAAGTTGTTCATTGTTTTGTAAAGTTATTTGGTTTTCCAGTATGCTTTGCATATTGCAGTTCTCAGAATTCCCTGGAACTCTCAGTAACGTTTAGATCCAGCTTTGCCTCTTGGACTATTGAGAGACTCCTAGACGACAATCACAAGGCTATAAACCGTGATTAATGCTATATTAAAAAACAATACATATTATTATTATTAGTAGTAGTAGTATTTTTTTAAATGGTAAACATCTTCTGCAATGGATATGTAAACGTATGAGCAAATGAAATATTTATGTCTAGTCTAGATTCTTGTGGAACCTGTAGTAAACCATAATTATAGATGGTCATTGGCAGAGCTTTGACCAAAAATGTGTTCTTATTTTGAATTCGCTCTTGTGTGTAGTAAAGTTAGACGCCAGTAATGAATTCTTGACTGAAACAGGATATTTCGATATATCAGCCAAAGAATTATTGCTTAAATTTACAAGCGCATTAAATAAGTCACATCATCTGGATCTTTGTATCAGCCGTCGTCCAGCTCAGTCTGCAGATCCACCCAGTGACTCACTCTCTCTGTTCCTCTCATCAGATCTTCATCAGCATAGGCCTGATGTTTTACGTTGTACATCGAGCACAAGTGGAACTGAACGCTGCCATTGCAGCCTGCCAGTTGGAGCTGAAGACCTCGTACATGAATGGCGGAATGACCAACCACTGCGGCTCGAGCCACTGCAGCAAACGGGCTGCGGCGGGAGGGGGGATCAACGTGGTCTGATCAGTGTCTTTGTTGTTGATGAACATATTTCAACCCTACATCCAGTTGGGCTGTCCTGACTGGACGGATGGAGATCTGTCTCGGCTGAGTCAGGCAGTCTTGGGAGCTGCTACAGTCCCAGCCAGCTGTTCTAGTTATGATGGAGGTCTGATGTGGAGCGGCACTAGACTGTCAAAGAGCCCGTCATCAGACCTTGATGGAAATATTGCCCAAAGATTGGGACCCTGGGCCAGTATTATATGAGAAGTTTGAGGTTGACTTGAGATTTTTGTTTTTGTGGTACGTTTTCGTTAAAAAAAATTTATGATACTAATATAAAATTACATAACTTTATAGGAGGTCTAAAGCATGAAATGGGTAAATTAATTAAAGTGAATGTTATAGAATTGTAGTTATTAAAGAGGGCCCAACTAATATATCAGGTTAATATGCTTAAGATGTTTGCTTTTTTGTTTATATATATATATATATAAGAATTGTTCCATTTTGTTTTTTGTTTATCTAAAAGTATTGCTTGATGGATTTTTGATGTCTAGAGTAAGAAAAAAATATTACCAGTTAGTATCACCTGGATAAAATTGTGGCTTTTGCCAAACTGAGAACACTTTTGCTACTCTGCAGTTTTGTACGGAACAGATGGGAGGGAAGGGAATTTTCTTAGCTGGATATTTAAGGATGTCCTGCCAAGAACCTTTAGCACAGCGTGATTAGCTCAGCGGTATGATCGTACGTGTTCGATTTCTCATTCTCATATTGAGAGGACTGAAATTCTTTGCCTTCTTTCTTGTATTATTTAACCAAATGCTTTATTATAGGGCTGTTAGCATTTTTTACATCACTTTTGTTAATTTATTCATTGTTAGAATAATTCAGAACGTTTGCACATATGGAATTTAACAAACTGAATATGTAAGATAAAGACGAAATGCTGAAAAGTGGGGGAAAGTAATTATTATGAATATATGCTATATATTGAATATATAATATGCTTGTATAATTATATAAATATATTCATATAAATATTTTCCCAAATTAGGGGAAATATATATATATAAAAGGGAAGCATTATCATATGTTAGTACATTATTGTTATTCTTATGTAATGAATGCTGAAGTACCACATTATTCATATCAGTCTAATGGGTTGTTGGCACTGTGCTAAAATGGCTCACAATTGCCTACAATGCATCTTTTGGCAGTTTTTCTCAAACATGCACACCAGTGAAAATTCAGCTCAAAGCCTCAACAGCTCAGTTACTCATGGTGAGCGCAAAGAGAACAGCTGACAAAACGGCAAACTACAACTAAAATATTATTACACGACTCTGGTCATGGTAATGTCTGTCGTTCCCTCCTTAGGGATTCACCTAATTAGAAACAAAAGACTCCCGAGCAATGACTGACGTATTTGGGTCCCAGCTATATAATTTAGCACAGGCTTCTGTTAACGAGCTCAGAGCCGCAGTGAACTCACAGCTTCCACACCCGGAACATGAAATCCCTCCATGCAGGGAATTTCACACAATCCTGGTGCTTTGTTTGTTTTGTCTTCTCATTACCTTCACCTGTACTCAACGACACTGTTGTGCGGTTTGACATGAAATTATACTGTAAATCCAGCTGTTCATGCTGTAAATCAGTGTGGAGATGGAAAAGACTTTGATTTAGTTTGATTTTGTCATTGCAAGCTTTTTTTTTTTTTTTATTTTTTAGAGTGTACTCTGTATTTATGTCTCCAGTTATAGTTTTGCTGCTACTTAGACTGTAGGGTCTGAGTGAAATGCTGACAAGGGCTCGAATTAATATTGCAATTTTACTACAAAGTGAAATACACCATCTCGTTTTTTTTTTCTTACATGGAGTGTGCAAATAGATTTTCTAACAAGTTGTTACATTTATTTTGAAAAGTGCAGGTGTAACTGTGCACAAATGGACACATTCCTTAACTTAAAAATGGGATGAATGGTTTTTATTATTATTATTTTTTCTCAAGGAAATGGAAAAGCCCCTCTGTTTTCTGAATTTAGCATTAAATTCTTTTCAGAATTTTTTTTTTTTTTTAATAAGAAACACATGCTCTCAATGATGAATTTCTCAGTAGCTGAAATGTACACTCTGTCGGTAGTGACTTCATTCTCAGTGTCATTTGAGACTCACCGTTTGGTTTACAGCATCAATATTAGAGCGTCACCATAATCTGACAATCAGTTGAACACTGGTGCGCTGCTCATTCCGAAAAACCATCTCATCGTACACTCTAAAAAATGCTGGGTTAAAAATAACCCAGCGCTGGGTTAAAAAGGGACAAACCCAGCTATTGGGTTGTTTTGACCCAGCGGTTGGAACCCAGCATTTTTTAGAGTGTACTCTGTATTTATGTCTCCAGTTATAGTTTTGCTGCTACTTAGACTGTAGGGTCTGAGTGAAATGCTGACAAGGGCTCGAATTAATATTGCAATTTTACTACAAAGTGAAATACACCATCTCGTTTTTTTTTTCTTACATGGAGTGTGCAAATAGATTTTCTAACAAGTTGTTACATTTATTTTGAAAAGTGCAGGTGTAACTGTGCACAAATGGACACATTCCTTAACTTAAAAATGGGATGAATGGTTTTTATTATTATTATTTTTTCTCAAGGAAATGGAAAAGCCCGTTTTCTGAATTTAGCAATAAATAAAAACTGAACATGCTGACTCACCATCTGAGTTACATTGTAGAGATCCAACAATCCTGGTCTTGTGTTACAATGTCAACCTGCCTTGTATCTCTTGCTGCCTAAGACATTGAAACGGGACACTTGCCTGCAGTGTGTTCAGACTCTTAATTCGAGCAGGCATGGGATTGTGATACCTGAAAAACTAAAGATTCTTGGGATGTCAAATGCAAAAAGAATCGAAATCTAACAAACTACAAAAATAAATGATAATTTGAGGATATGTATGAGTGCTTTGTCTTATTTTTCCAGTTCGAATGACAGTGGGATATGCAACAGTGAGTATAATAGCAAAGGGGTCTTGTGAGGTTCTTGGCAAACCTTGATCTGAGATTACAGCACATTTAAAAAAAAAAAAAAAAAAACCTTACAAATGTAATTTCAGATTAGGGCACATCAGGTACTATACTAAAACCTCTTGACCCCTTTGACAAGTGCATTTTACATACACTGTATTTTGTAATACAGAGAATTTTGCAATGTAAATGAATATTTATTGCTGTGTCATGCTTGTTCAGTGTTGAAATAAAATAAAATTACACAATCATCTTGTGCTATGCTCACTAGTCTACATAAATAACCCAGTGTTTCTGCATTTAATTCAGTGTAGGAGACACATCTTAGAATGGGCTCTTATAACAGGAGACCGTTTGCTGATAATCCAGTTTAGTTACAGATTGACAGTGCTATATTGTCTGATTGTGTAATTAAGATTTCATTCCTCACATGGTTCCCTCCTCTATCAGTATCCGTTATCTTGGAGTCAGTGTTTCTGCATTTAATTCAGTGTAGGAGACACATCTTAGAACGGGCTCTTATAACAGGAGACCGTTTGTTTGCTGATAATCCAGTTTAGTTACAGATTGACAGTGCTATATTGTCTGATTGTGTAATTAAGATTTCATTCCTCACATGGTTCCCTCCTCTATCAGTATCCGTTATCTTGGAGTTGCAGTGACATGGTGCAAACTACACCATTATCTAACCTAAAGTGTGCAATCTGAACTGTGAAATGAAGGGGAAGATCCAACCCAGTCTCACAGGAAAACGTGACTTTTTTTTTTTAAACAAGGTAGCAATTTCATATGAAACTCTACAATGTGAATTGTAGGAGAAAAGTAACTATGAAGGTCCACACCTTACTCCAACCCTAAATATATTTGATTCACATAAAAATATAACTGCTACAATTTTGTATTCATTTTTATTATTTATTAATTTTTTTTTTTTACTATGTGAATCAAAAGAAAACATACAATTTAAAAGGCATATTGGAACATAATAGGGGGAAAAAATAAGTAGCACATTTATCTGAACATTATTTCATAGATAGATCCAGTGAGCTCAGGCCCTGGTAGCATTGTTGCCAAGTTTGCGGTTTTCCCACAGAATTGGGCTACTGTAACACTGTTGAAGCGACCCCAATAACGTGACATTTAGCCTCTGGAATGCAAATTTTACCAGGGGATCCCTGCCAAAAACTTGCATTTTACCTCTGGAACACAAGTGGGCTAGTTTTGGGTGGGTTTTGTTGTGAAACCCTGGCAACCCTGCCTGGTAGTTTAAGCATCAGAAGATAAACACACTCACACTGGTTTATTTAATTTATCTACTAACAATGTCCAAAGTCCACTTTTGTGAAACTGCCCACCACAGTGTTGTTTCAAGGCACCCCATCCCAGATCATGTATTGTGTTTAATAGCATTCTGTGACGGGAATTATAGTTTTAAGAAATTAAATTTTTGGAATAAAATGGCAGACTCCTTTGTCTTGCTCAGGGTAATTTCATAGCTATAATTTTATGTATTCAAAATGCACAATTAAATCATATTCTCACACTTTTTTCACAAAATTACAGCTTGATTGGTAATGATGCACAGTAACAATATTATCTTCACAAGTGATATTTTTTGTTGCACATCATGTGTCATATTTCATCTCAGCCTCTTGACACTGTGATAAGTAAACTAACTTTTGAAAAACTTCATTTGGAACAAAAATGTTCAGTGTGATGCAAATGCTGGCACAACTAAGAGCCAGTCAAAATTTTGGACAAATTTATATAAATAATTTTTTACAATATAAATTGTGATAATATAAAACGAAGATCATATATATATATATATAATGAAATATAGAGACAAACTGTAAATAAATAATACATTTTAACTGTATTTTATTGCTTTTGTACAGATTGTTCTGTTTTGTTTAAACCACAATAATCTGTAAATTCTACAAAGAAATTCTTTGTAGACAAAACAAAGATTCTTTTAACATATTCTTTAAAATTGTTGTTAAAGTTGTGTTTGTTCAGTTTTTTTACAGTACCATTTTTAGTACTTTCAGAATATTACTGTAAACGTAATGGTTTCATTGTTTTTCTATTTGCACAATTTTGACAATTTTACACATTTTTAAACAGTATACACACACACACACACTGTAATTTCAAGAAGTAATAGTTCAACTGTGCTTCTGTACCAATGACATTTAAAAGCTTATGTAATGTTTGAGAAATACTGACCACTTGTGGTATAATATAGGACACACAACCCATACCACAATCGCCACAATAAATCAAGGTCACATTTATTTAGGAAAAATCACTTAAATTCAGTCAACACTTTCACATTATAAAAAAATTATATGCGAGAGCAGAGATTGGCTGAAATCATGGTTTGTGATAACAGAAGATTTTGTATGACAAAACAAAATCTGTGGAGTTAAAAAAGGTTTAAAAAAGTAAACCATTCTATTCAAACCCTTTTCGAAGTATTTTATATCCAGCTTTGCATTCTATTATTATCTGTATGTCTTTGTTTCTTACACTGATCTGTAGTCTGAATTTGTAGGCACTCTTCACATTCTTCATTTTAAACACTTTTTAAAACTATCTTCTAAACGACACGCGTATATATGGTCTTCTAGGGATTTAATAATCATGTTTTGAAAGTGCAGTAAATTCCCCAGTGATCACTGGTGTAACGGCCACAGTCCAGTTTCTCCATTCCGACCAACACCATGTGGCCAGGAGTGACTCTTGGGCCGGTTTTAGCAGACCTAAGGAAGATGCGGTCGAAGCGACATCTGCTGATGTAAGGCACAGTCTTGTTGCTGTTTGCTTTGGTGTCCCAGGTGTATCGGCAGTGTTCGTTTGCCCAGCTGTTCCCAAACATCACACACACCTGGAGGCAAACCTCCCACCTTTACCACCTACACGGACAGAAACAATCTTCAGAAATGCTGCATCGCACTAGTGACTTTCACTGCGTTTTCATTCCTCCATCATATTTGGAACTACTGTGATTGTTAGTCCAGTGTTTCCCAACCTTTTCTCCTATTCACAGGCCCATCAGTCAAACTCAACTACCCTTCATCAACACCAAACTGAAAAATGGGTTCATTTGAATGTGTTCACAATACACAATTTCACAGACATGAATTGAAAATTGTGTTGTTTTTTTTTATTCTTTGTGTACCACCAGTTAGGTCACTCATCTAGTCCTTGTGGTGAATTTTAAAGCCTTTTTTTTTTTTTTTATTTACCTCGGTGTCTCTGAGATTGGTGTCCCCAGCAAAAATTACAGTAGCATCTTCTGGTGCTTCCTTCATCGTTTGAAATACAACTCGCAGTTGTTTCATTCTCTCCTCTGATTGGTTCTTACAACTTTCTAAATGTGATGTCATCAAGTATAGCTTCTGACCTGAGAAAGTCACCTTAACGAGATACAACAGAGTCAAAAAAGAAATTAATGTGTATGAATGATGAGAAGCAAATGAATTATGGCAGAGACACAACCTAGAAAAGGAAATATTAAAGTATACATACACTACCGTTCAAATGTTTTGGGTCAGTAAGAGTTTTTAAAAAGAAATTAATAATTTTATTCAGCAAGGATGCATTCAATTGATCAAAAGTGACAGTAAAGACATTTATAACGTTACAAATGATTTCTATTTCAAATAAATGCTGCTCTTTTGAATTTTATATACATCAAATATCCCTGAAAAAAAATTCCGTTTCCACAAAATTATTAAACAGCACTTGAGCAGCAAATCAGCATATTAGAATGATTTCTGAAGGATCATGTGACAATGAAGACTGGAGTAATTATGCTGAAAATACAGCTTTGACATCAGAGGAATAAATTACATTTTAACATATATTCAAATAGTAATTTACTGTATTTTTTATCAAATAAATACAGCATTGGTGAGCATAAGAGGCTTCTTTCAAATACACTGAAAAATCTCACCAACCCCAAACTTTTGAACAGTAGTGTATTTCTGCTTCCATTAAGAAATACACCTGTGCCATTCATTATACCCCAATACAATCTTTGGATAATGCTTATAAACCACAAACTCACCTGAGCAACTAATAGATTTCTCAACATTTGTGTTGTAGGATAACAGATGATCTCACTTTCCAAAAGTTTTACTCTTGATTTCTTCAACATAATCCCAGTGAAGTATCCGTCATCGCTTCCTTTAATGACAGGGAACTTCATGAATCAGTAAATAACTCATAAATAACTTCACTGAGCACTGAGGTTTCTTACCTTCAACAAACAGATAGCTGACAGCACGTTTCTTAAGATACTGAATATAAGATGGAATGAGTTCTTGAAGAAAAACCACATCTGGTGTATATCTACAAAAGAACAACGGATAAAAGAAAGCAAAGAGTTACGAGTAAAACAACACAAACTTAGTGTCGAATAAAACATGAAATAGAGAATATCAGGGGTCTTTAAACAACTCACAGAGCTAGATATGAACACAAGCCCCTGGCACGCTCTGCAAGACTTAATGTGTCCAAACCATCCACATTCCAGCTGATGATGGAGAGCTTGCTGTCCTCCACATTAGATTCGGTTACAACACTTTTAGCCTGACTTTCTTGGGGGTTCACACTGCTGGAGCAGGTGGGTTCCTCCGCTGTCAGGTCAATAATGCACAATTTGAAAAAAGATTTCAAATATTATTAGCATCTAGGTATAGAGTATTGTATATGTAGAGCAAATTCAGTTTACAATTCCTAATAAATAGAGGAGAAAACATTACCAGTCCATCTGGTCTGTCTTAAATTTCTTCTTTGTTCCTGAAGCCTCAGCAGTGTCAGAAGAATTCACCCCCTTTCTCTTATTCCCAGACACATCTTTAGTTTCCTCTGCATCTTCAACATCAAACACTGAATCCATATGAGCCTCGAAGAACGAGTTCAATGCTCTCTGGCAGGAACACAGAAATAACAAATATTTTTTTATAAGAACAGCAATGGTTGTAGATGAGAAGAACTAAACACGCTTTACTCAATAGATATTTTTTTATATAGAAACGTGGTGCAGTAATAGTGCCATACCTCCATATCCCATTCATTTTCTGCTAGATAACACTGCGCCACAGCACTGTCCGATCCAGAGATAGAGGCAAATTGGTCGCAAAGGCTCGTCCTCGTTTCCTCTAGAGCAGACATTTGTTGATTGGTGTGATTACCTGACATAACAGTGTTGAACATGTTCACAGTTGAATATAACGGAGGGACATGGACGCGTACAGCTACAAAAACATTCCGGGTGGAACCCCCCAAAATACGGAGACAATATCAATATTAATGTATGATTGTGGTCGCTGGACCTCATTTATTTACACCATACTATAAATCACTACCTCAACGTATTATTACCCTAATTTTCACATCACATTAAACTCTGCACCCAGAGAGTCCCGAACCGAAGGGATTATTATTGTTAAAATAGAGGCTTTCCGGAAGCATTAAACTGTAGCATTGAAAGAGTCGGTTCTTTCGAACAGTTCGTTTCAAAACTGAAACGATTCCGCAATTCTTTTATAGCATGACGTAATTGTGTGGCCCCTGGCCAGCCAGTGCTCTAAAACCTTCTATGCACCAATAATATATTAATCAAAAATTGTCTAGGCACGTGTGTGCCAGTTCAGTTTGTTTGCTTGCAGGAATGAAATATAATTAGCAATAACATTCTTAAAATTCTCAATTTAATTCTAAATTCTAAAACTAATTAAGATATGTCGTTGCCCTGAAAATTAAATTTGATTCAGACCGATTCTTGAACGAATCATTTACATCTGTTTTGAAAACCAGTTCAATAGATTGATTGAAAAGACACGACTCAAATGAATCATGAATGATCCATTATTTCATAATAAAAGTCCTCATAGCCGAATGGTCAGTTTAGCTTCTAGAAGAATTCATAGATTGAATCGTTAGATTTAGTTTACCTATTTATAAGAATGTAGTGCATTTTTTGTCATTAGTTATCTGCAGTTCTCCTAGCTTGTGGCAAGAGGCCTTGTAGCTACAATATGTGCTACTGTGTCATGTATGGGGAAGAGCGGGGCAGTATCTCATCAGTGTTAAAAAATAAATAAATAAATAAAAAATCTCATCAGTGTTGCTACTGTTAAACAAAACTAATTGTTTTCGGTAATTAGAACGAATGAATGAATAAATAAGAGTTTTGAAAATATAAAAAAAAAATTAAATTAAATTGTAAAAATAAATATTAACACACACACACACATACATATATACATACATACATGCATATACACACATGCATATACACACATGCATATATATACATATATACACATACATATATACACATACATATATATATATACCTATATATATACCTATATATACACACACATACACATACATACATACACACACATACATACACACACATACATACACACACATACATATACACACATACATATACACACATACATATACACACATACATATACACACATACATATACACACATACATATACACACATACATATACACACATACATATACACACATACATATACACACATACATATACACACATACATATACACACATACATATACACACATACATATATATATACATACACATACACATACATACATACACACACACACATACACACACACACATACATACATACACACATACATATATACACACATACATATACACACATACATATATATATACATACACATACACATACATACATACACACACACACATACACACACACACATACATACATACATACACACATACATATATACACATACATATATACACACATACATATATACATATACACATACATATATACACATACATATATACACATACATATATACACATACATATATACACATACATATATACACATACATATATACACATACATATATACACATACATATATACACATACATATATACACATACATATATACACATACATATATACACATACATATATACACATACATATATACACATACATATATACACATACATATATACACATACATATATATACCTATATATACACATACATATACATACATACATATACATACATACATAC